TCCTGCCGGGCGGCCGGGAGGTGGTTGAGCAGGACGAAGGCGGCGAGGCACAGGCCCATCATGCCGCCAAGGAAGAGGAAGAAGAGGCGAACGGAGAACCGGGCCGGCTGGTACTCCACCTGCAGCCCCGGGCCCGAGGCGTTCCCCGCCAGGCTGCCATTCACGCACCGGGCCACCCCCACCCCCTGGGCCAGGGCCACCAGGCCGGGCACCAGGCCGCTCAGCCCCTCGCCCACGAAGTAGGTGGTCAGGTACTGGGCCCGGAACCGCAGCATGAAGGGCAGGAAGGTGACGGAGGAGGTGCAGTCCACCAGGGAGAGGAAGAAGAGGAGGACGAGGAGGGCGGTGCTGCGGGCAGTGCCCCCCACCACGCTGGTCTCCTGCCAGAAGAAGGCCAGCAGGACGCAGGCCAGCGCCCCGAGGCTGATGATGGTATAGATGGTGCCGGGCTCGCTGAGCCGCCCGGGCCGGAAGTGGTGCATGAGGGTGACGAAGAGCGGCCCCACGTTGGCGAACTGGATCAGCACCGTCAGGTAGGACGGCAGGTACCAGCCCTCCGGGACCTGGGGCACAATGAGGGGCAGCTCCACCCACATGCCGTTGATGGCCACCCACGAGCCTGTGCCCAGGAGGCAGGCGAGGACGTGAACCACCAGCGCCATGGCTTCCGCTGGTGCGCCGGGCCTGAGAGCCAAACAGAGAGGGGGGCATTAAACCAGAGCGGCGGGCCCAGCATGGGGGCAGGACGGGTTCTCCCTGGAAAGCCAGCGCAGCAGCCTGGATGTGACCCCAAAGCCGGGTAACCCCCTGCCCCCCCCAAAACCGGGGTTACCCCCACCACCACCTCCTCCCATCTGTGCGCCACGCCCTGCCCCCCCAAAACCGGGGTTACCCCCACCATCACCTCCTCCCATCTGTGCGCCACGCCCTGCCCCCTCAAAGCCGGGGTAACCCCCAGCACCACCTCCTCCTGCCTGCGTGCCATGCTCTACCTCCCCCCGCTCCCCCAAAGCAGCAACAAGCAGTGAGCGTCCGAGTGGGAACAGCCTTGGGAAGCCCAGTCCCAGGGATGCATGCACACCCCATCACACAGACACACACAGCATGTGCAGCGCACACACACACACACACACACAGGGAAACATGCAAGTACACACACAGCCAGACACGTGTGCATGCACACACCCACGCACACACACCCACACACACACACGTGCACACACACACACTTGCTGGTACAGGACGCGGATGGGCCCTTTGCTGAGCAGCAGACCAGCCTCAGGCCCCTTGCAGGGCAGGCCCACGGCTGTCAGCAGCGGGACCCTCGGCACTAGGCTGTCCCCACCATGAGCCCTTTTCTCCTGCTGTGAAACATCCCGCAGCAGCAGCCCGGCCTGCAGGGACTGGGCCTGGGCCTCTCCTTTGGCACTTATGACACCTGCCCAGAGAGGCTGTGAGGTCTAGTGGGCACAGCACTGGATTCGGCAGCAGGACGCCTGGCGTCTAAGCCTGTCTCTGTTGGTGACTCCCTGTGTGACTCTGGGCATGGTCCTGTCTTGTTCTGTGCCTCAGTTTCCTCCTCTACAGCGTCACCAGTCACTGAGGAACATGGAGCCTGGCTCAGGAGCCAGCCATGGTCAGCGAGCTGTCTGTGCTCCCGACGCCCCGGACGGCGCTGGAGCCGGGGGAGCCAGAGGAACAGGAGCCAGCCACGGTCAGCGAGCTGTCTGTGCTCCCGACGCCCCGGATGGCGCTGGAGCTGGGGGCGGGAGGGGGAACCCAAAGCTCCAGTATGCGGCTGAAGCTCAGTTCTGACCAAGCTGCATTGTAAGAGTGATCCCTGGTGGTAGCACAGCCGGAGCCAGAGCCGCTCCCTGTGGTGGGGCTGGGCAGGGAACTGGGCTCAGACCACGCCAGCTGCCCCTCTCCTGCGGCTCTCAGGGCCTAGCAGAGTTTCCTGGCCCAGCTGAGCTGTTGGCTCCCCCAGGGGCGTCCCGGCAGGATCCTCCCAGCGCAGCTGCCCCTGGAGGAGGCTCTGCCCGCCTCGCCCCACTCGTCTCCATCTCCAGAGCTCGTCCCCCTCACCCTCCCTGGGACCCAGCCAGCAGGCACAGCAGGGAGCCGCCCCCCAGGCCTGGCCCTTGCCCACAAGCCCCTCCGCCAGCTCAGGGCTCGGTGCCGCGGGCTGGGAGCTGTGGGCGAAGGACCCGGCCTGGCCCAGCACACAGGGGGCAGATGCTGCTGAGACTGCGCCGGCCAGACGGACTGGGTGAAGCTTGGACCCTGCCCTGGTGCCAGTCCCTTCAGGCCCGCTGCTCGGGGCCAGGCGCCAGGCACGGGAGGGAGCAGCAGGGGCTGGGGTGCGAGGGCCGGGGAGGGTGGAGGTGACGCGTCTCTGGAGAAGGATCTGGGAGGTGTGGGGGGCAGCTGAGAGAGGCGAGAGGGAAGGATCCTGGGGGGAGGGGCAGATGGGGACGGAGGAGCTGCAGGAGGGCTGAGGGGAGGAGGCAGAGGGGTAGGGGGTCACGGGCCCCTCTGCAGCCCCGGCTCCGTCAGGGCATTAACCCCCCCGCAGGCTGCAGCAGGGGACTGCGCTGGCAGCAGCTTCGGGGAAGGTTTGTACCTGAGAGGCCCCAGTGCGAGACCCGGAGCGAGGCCCCGGTGCGGCCAGGCCTGTTTGGCTGTCCATGGATCACTGAGCCAAGGCACCGGCAAACGGCTCTGACACCCAACGAAGCCTTCCCGGGGATGCTGAGGGTTACGGGGCTGCAGGTCACCCGACGCAGGGAGAGAGGCAGCTGATCTGCACAGGAATCCTTTGCCTCCCGTGGGGCGTCTGTGCCCCCCCCATTGACACCCAAGGCTGTGGGGGGGGGCAGCACAACGCAGAGCAGGGCTGAGCAGTATCACCCACAGCAAGGAGCCAGCAGGCCTGGCCAGGCTGCCCCCTGCCCTTTGCACCCGCGGCGTCCCCAGCGGATCAGAAAGACTTGTGCAGCGTCGCCAACTGGAGACTTTCTTGGCAGTCTCGTGCTGTTTTCCTTAAAGCGCCAGCTCCTGGAGTCACGGGGTTCAGGGAGACCCGCAGCCTCCACGGAGCACACGGGGCTCTGGAGAAAAGCTGGAGACGGCTCCCGAGTGCCTCCCCTAGAGGCCCAGCCTGTGTCTGCACTACAGCCATCTCTGGCACAGCCGTGCCCAGCGGGGCGTGGTGGGGTGTGAGCCCCGATGGGCAGCGCCATGACGGGGACCCTCTAGTGCGAATGTGCGTATCCCAGCAACGCTGCCGCTGGCGTCATTCGGTGGAATAGCCAGCGGTAAAAGCGCAGCTTGGCCGGTACAGGACCCCAGCGCTGCTGGAGTCCCAGTAGGGCCAGCGCGGAGCTGGGACACTGGGCGGCCCCGAGCCTCGTCTCTGTGGTGCTTGGCTACCTGATCCTTGCTCCTGTGCCCAGGGTCTGCCCTGAACTCCACACGGGGGCTTGGGAAGGAGGTTCCCCCGGTCAGGGGATCGCCTTCCCCTGCAGCGTGCGGGTCACGTGCCAGGGTTAGCTGGGTGTCGCTCACTGGGACATTCCCTGCCATTGGGGAGCCTCGGGGGACCGGTGCCCCGGGTCCCTGCTGTTCTCTGCCTGTGGCACACACCAGGCCAGGCTGCCGTGATCTCCTCTCCACAGCTGGGTTTGCTGTGCGGGTGCTGACTGGCTGAGAGGCTACTTGGGCAGAAATGGGCTTTGCAGGGACCAGGTCCCGGCGGAGCCGTTCTCGGAGCCGTGCGGGGAGCTCCCGGCAGCGCTCGCTGGGCCAGGGCACCCAGCGCCCGGGAGGGGCCTCTCTAGCTAGGATTTCCATCAACCCCCAGCCTGGGACTGGAAGGGGCGCTGGGGCCAGCCCGGCCCTGCCCTGGGGACACGGAGCTGGGACCGCTGGTTTCCCAGCTGCCTGGCAGCGCCCCGGGGGGATCTCCAAGCGCTCGGACTGGGCTGTGCTCCGGACCCGCGGTGGAGCCAGGAAACACTTCACTGCTCTGCGCTGTAATAAGTGACCACGGCCAGGTTAGGCTTTAACTCCAGCTCAGGGGCTCCAGGTAGCTCCCCAGGGAATCGCTACGCTCAGCACCGGATGCCTGGGGCAAGGTCCGGCCTTTGGCTCGACCTGCTCACGGGGCTGACTGACTGGAGCCAGCGGCCGGGACTGGCCGAGATTAACCCTCCTTTCCGGCCTGCTCCCGCGCTCTGGGAAGGGGCACGAAGGGATTCCAGTGACGCCCGGCACGGCCCTGGGGCTGCGAGTCTGTTCCTGGGGGTTAGGAGCGGCCGAGTGACCCGCTGGACTCGAGCGATCCCTTATTGTAACGCTGGCCGAGGCCGCAGCTGCCCAGTCTCCGTGGGCTGCCCCAGGGCTCGGTCTGTCTCCAGCTCTTGTCTTACACCCCGGCTGGCGGCTTTGAGCTGTGTTTCTGCAGCGCCTTGCACGAGGGGCTGGGCCAGGAGTGGGGCGTGTCTTGAGCCCTTCTCCCCGTGGAGGGAGCCAGGGTGCGTGTGGGAAGCCCCCCCCAGGCAGCACATGACTGCCAGCTTCCGCCTGCCCCCCCGCAAGCCCCCCCACTGAGCCAGCCTGGGATGTGACCCAAGGGGGGGGCAAGACCTCCCCTCCCCCCCGTTCTCTGCCTGCTCGGTCTGATCCTGCACACGATGGACATAGCTGGGTCCCTGGGGGGGGCTGGGCCCCAGGATCTGACTGGCCCGAGGCCGAGTCCAGCCCCTGGGCCAGCTGGGGCAATGCATGGGGCCAGCAGTACAGGCCTGGGGGGTGGAGCTAAACCCTGCTGGGTAACTGATCTGCAGAGCCAGAGCTCAGAGGTGGCGGCTCATCTCTTCCTCCCCCGGGGCGGGCCGGGCTTCCTGGGGTCACTTAAGGCCCCAAGCAATGCGGGTCTCCCCTTCCCCGGGGGACGAATCCCCACGGGCGTGTCCGGCTATCAGCCCCAGTGTCCGTCCCCCAGGGGTGTGTGCGGCGGCGTGAGCATGAGGGGGTCCCCGTGCGGGAAGGCTCTGCCGGGATCCTCCTGGCACCTTGTGCCCTGTGCACTCACACGCATCCCCACACAGGGCTGGTGTCCTGCTGTGACCTGGGGCTCTGCCCCTGGGAGAAATGGCTGCAATGCCGGTCCTCCGACAGGCATCACCACACACACCCTAGGTCA